TCTCCCCCCCCCGGGTGAGGGGGAATGGCCTGGCGGGGGGGCCCTGAGCTAACCCCCCCCCCATTGCCAAATCCATCCCCAGGACAGGGAGCTGATAAGGACACCTCCCTGATGAGGGGACAGGGGCTAAGGAGGAGCAGAAGGGGAATAAGGATTCATGAGGGTGCGTCTACACTGCAGGCGCTGCAGGGAGGAATGGGGGTGCTAAGGGTGCGTCTACACTGCAGGCACTGAAGGGAGGAATGGGGGTATTAAAGGTGCGTCTACGCTGCAGGGAGGAATGGGGGGACTAGGGTAAGGACACCTCCCTGATGAGGGGACAGGGGCTAAGGAGGAGCAGAAGGGGAATAAGGATTCATGAGGGTGCGTCTACACTGCAGGCGCTGCAGGGAGGAATGGGGGTGCTAAGGGTGCGTCTACACTGCAGGCACTGAAGGGAGGAATGGGGGTATTAAAGGTGCGTCTACGCTGCAGGGAGGAATGGGGGGACTAGGGGTGCGTGTACACTGCAGGCGCTGCAGGAAGGAATGGGGGTAGTAAGGGTGCGTCTACACTGCAGGTGCTGCAGGGAGGAATGGGGGTACTAAGGGTGCGTCTACACTGCAGGCGCTGCAGGGAGGAATGTGGGTATTAAGGGTGCGTCTACACTGCAGGCGCTGCAGGGAGGAATGGGGGTACTAAGGGTGCGTCTACACTGCAGGCGCTGCAGGGAGGAATGAGGATACTAAGGTTGCGTCTACACTTCAGGTGCTGTGGTAGGAAGTGAGGTAGTGAGGGTGTGTCTGCTGGAGCTACAGTGGCACAGCAGCAGCTGCCCTGCCATAGCACTGTTGTGTAGACACTATAAAGGAGTTTTCTCTTGCTGTAGTACTTCCATTAGGATTACCATACATCCAGTTTTTCCCGCACATGTCCTCCTTTTTGTCCTTAAATCACTGCCTGGCCGGGTTTTTTAAATAACTAAAAATGTCCGGGATTTTGTCCTTTTCATTCTTTTCCAAACAAATTTAGATATGTTTATATAGTTGGAGCAGCCCACCTGCCCTGCCCGAGGGAAGTGCGGAGCCCTGCTCAGCCCAGCCCCGAGCCACATTCTAGGGGCTACAGCTGCAGCTGGGAGATCCCGGCTCCTCCACACACTCAGGTATATCCAGGGGTGCTCGTTTGCATACCCATGATGCACTGCGCGTGGACACCTGACTCACTGGCCCGTGAGCTGGGTTTGCTGCCAACGTCTGGTTCCGGTGCTAACTCTCGGGCTTTCAGCATGCCCAGGAAACAGGCTGCAGAAGGAGTGGGGTGTTGCTGGCCAGTGTGTGTCCTCTTTTTCACAACATCAAATATGGTAACCCTAACTTCCACCCCTGAGAGGTGGTAGTTAGAACAGTGGGAGAATTCTGTCATTAACCTAGTTGTGTTATGGTTGTATTAGCTTAATCTATTTATGCTTAATCTATATATTGCCAATCTAGATGCTCTTTTGCGGAAATACTTTTAACGGAAATACTTTTCTGTTAAAAGTATTTCCGCAAAATCATGCCAGTCTAGACGTAGCCACTTGTTTTTAATAGTACAGTAGGCAGCCTGTTTCCGCCACTGCTGTCTGTCCAGAGCAAGATGTCTGACTGTATCATAAATTGTCTCCACAACAGCAGCATCCTGTCTGATAGATCATCCCGCTGTATTCCCTATGTCTTCTCTTCCTTCCAGGTGAAATCCAAATAAATTTAAGGTGTACCTGTGTTTTTGTTATAGGGTAACCTGATGACAGGCCCAAATATATCACTGTAAGCACCTCTGTCTAACTAGTGATTCCACAGTCTGCTGACCCATTCTGCACAACACTTCCACTTTCGTTACACACTCTCTCTAATGAATTCCTAAGAGTCTAGACCCACAAAAGTATTTAGGTTCCTTAGCTGCACTGAAATCAATCCATAGTTGTTTTCTGTGTTGTAGCAGTGTTAGTCCTGGGCAAGAGAGAGACAAGGTAGGTGAGGAAAGTCTTTTATTGGACCATCTTGTCAGTGGTTTTCAAGGTACAAGTTTTCAAGACACACAGAGCTCTTCTTCAGGTCTGGTTTGGTCCAATAAAATATATCATTTCACCTACCTTATCTCGCTCACTGATATCAAAGGTAGGATCCTAAATACCTTTGTGGAGCTGAGCCTACCCCGCTAAAATCAGCTCCTGCTTCCTTGCCCTCTTTTTTTGTGGGAAAATCAATCCTCTTACTTATGTTTAATGGAGAAATCCCCAGATCCCATTGACCAAAGTATTGTTGATTCCAGGTGTTCAAAAATCATGATTCATGCACCAAAAATCATATGAGTTTTAAAAATGATACTACTTCTGTGATTCTTTTTATTTGACTTCTGGCTTCTGATCTTTTAAGTAGCTTTCCTCTGTAAACATAATATTAAAAACTTACTTTAAAAAAGGGAGAGCTAACGGTTTCACTTAGTTACCTGACTCCAGTAGCTGGGTGTTTAAGACAAACAGCAAATATTATGAGAATCACAATAAAATCAAAGGTATCACTTCGGAACTTTGGGGCATTCAAAATCAAAATCAAAACCTGGATTTTAATTTTGCAAAACCCCATTCTCCTGAACCAAAACTCTTTTACAATTATCTAAGAAAGGATAACAGTTCATAAAGGACGTAAAGTAAACACTGAGGGTGGCTTAAGACAACCACTAATGAAAAGATTAGGAATAAGCTTCCTTTATGGACATTTGATTGCTTAAAGGTCAATTACAGGGGTTTTACACTTTCCTCAAGCAGCTGGTGCTGGCTGCTGGAGGAGACAGGAGGCTAGCCAAAGCTGTGTGACTAGTGTATTATAGGTACTGTAAAATCTCGAATATTATGCGCACTTTTTTTCTGATTTTTGTAGGGTCAAAGTTGGGATGCGCATTATATATAGGGGGCATTGTTTAAGTTTTATTTTGGCAGTTCTATGTCAGAAGATGATGAACCTCCGCTATGCCAATGCCATGCTAAGATGGCAGTAAACATGAAATCAACATCAACTGAAATGGCAGAGATTCCTAGAATGCTTTAAAATATTT